TGGCGCGATGCAACGTGTAAAAAGACAGTATATGTCATTATAATCCGTCCCCACGGGATGCAACGAATGCCTCGTTTATAATGTATTTTCATGTTTTTGAATCATCGCTCCGGCCGGATAGGGCATCACAGTATGGTGAGGGGCGTAACATTTCCATCACACGCTTGAGGTATTCGGCCAATCACAACGCACTGGATAGCTGGCCAATCAGAGCACACCTCGCTTTTCAGAACGATGAGCTTTGTAAAAATCGACGCATTTCAGAAAGGCGGGGCATAGAGGAGAAACAATAATGTACAGTATGGAAAATAATGTGTTTTTTGAACCTTAAACCGCATAAACACATTTCATTACACCAAATACACAAAATAATGTTCTTTTTAGCAACATCATATGACCCCTTTAATTACTGAGTGCAAACAAAATACTGTGAGAAATAAGGATGTTTGGGAATGGCCTGAACATTTTAATGTATGTGAGTGCTGGATAAGGTCACATCAGATGTGGATCCAGCATTGTGAAGCAGACACATCTTAGGTAGAAAATGAGCAGTATGAGGCATCTAAGTGTTGGCTACAGACCACTTAAATTATTTGTGATGCATCTTCTAGTATACTGACCAAATACTATGAGGCGGGTGAGAGTGTTGGTAGATCCCAATGGGTTTTGGACCGTGCAGCGAAACATGGATCCGTTGAGCTTAGCTGGGATGCTCTCCAGAACCAGTACTTTCCCAAATCTCTCTTCACTTCCATCCAGCAGAGGTCCTCCCACACGTGTCCATGTGAATAGAGGCTCTGGAAACACTTTATTCTGTAGCACAAAAATATTCATTAAACACTTCAGACATTTAAAACACTGAGCATGGTTATACCCTGCAGAGTATATAGTTTATATTTTTCGGCATTCAAGTGTGAAACATTACAAACAAAGCTAAAATATGTATGAGAAGTTGCTAGGGAGACTCTTTTTAATCATTTATATACATTTGCTAAACACCACTGGCAGTATTCATTTGCTCATATATTTTGTACTTGAAGAGAATATTAAACAGTTTTCAAAAGAAGCTCTCAAAGACATTTAAGGTACACTATAAATCATCAAAAGCAACTTAATTATTTAGTTCAACATTTCCGAAAGACATTGGTAGGCATTATAATGTAAAACATTAGTCATTGCTGTTGCCGTGCATTCAATTAGAGTAGGCATATTCTGCTGAGACAAAAACATGAATCACTGCTACTGTTAAGTTGCATTGTTTGCAAATAATTATTTTGCACCACTTTATATACTAGAACCATTTCTTCTTTCATGATTGTACCGCTTTGGGCCCCATTTGGAATCCCTCCACTTTGATGCGAACTGTGTCTCCCACTTTCGCTCTGCTTGGTGCCACAGAGAGTTTCGGGCCTTTTGGAGCAGCTTGTAAACAGTCTTGGAACTGACTGTTAGTGTGGATAATTTTGGCAATGTGCATAAGCTTAGTTCAATGAGGCCTGCAATCAATCAGTTCCCAAAAGAAATCCGGTGCGAACTGAAAAAAAAAAAACTAGTTGATAAGTTGATAAAAAAGACTGAATCCAATATTTGGTAATAATATAGCATAACAAGAAATATGAGCAATTTTTTTGTATGCTGGTAATTTCTAAGTGTAACAAGGTGTGGGGGAAATCCCAAAAATGTACAAAAATGATCAAATCGTTACCATTTTTTAAGTTGTTATACCCTGTGTAAACAGTCAGTAAGGTTTAGTCTAATGTGGTAACAGTAACTAGCATTAAAAAAAATATTAAAATAAATAAAAAATATATATATTTAAAAAAGACCAATAACTAAAATCAATCGTTTTAAAGTGAATTTAGGTATCACAAAATGATGTACAGTATGAAAAATGTATATTCATTTTGCAATTTGCTAAAGATGTTGCTAAATTTTAAGATTAAATAAATGTTGACATTAAAGAAAAGGTAATCTAAATGTAAAAACAGGAAAAAGGAGCAAACATAATTAAAATATTAAATAAAAAACTCTAATATATTGTGAGACCCTAATAAACATATTTAAGACCCATTCACACCAAGAACGACAACTATAAAGATAAATATATCAGCGTCCACACCAGTGGACAATATCATCTGTTCATCAGCTGGAAAAAATCTTTCTGAAATTGATTCCAACAATATCGTTTCTCTGTGCCTTTATCATTATAGCTGTGGTGTGGGCCCTGCTATTCTTTTTTATTGAGAACGATTTTTAGAACTATATCTTTATCGTTATCTTTATAGTTATTGTTCTTGGTGTGAACGAGTCTTTAGACTCAGTAACTGTATTTGGTAACGTATATAAAGTGACACTCACAGAGTGTAACCTCTGCCTTCATGGGCATGGAAAGAGCAGGGTGCTTGACTTCACAGGTGAACAGAGCCTCATTGTCCAGCTGTGGGTTCAAGTGCAAGGTCAGCATAGCTTGGACCTCCAAAGTACCGTCATGAAGCTCAGACTGCGTATGGTTGAAATAATACATCGGGCTTGAGCTCAGCACCCAGCGGGGAAACTCTTGGCTGATCACAGTCTCTGGGATGATCTCTGTGGTGGGACTGGCTTCCTCCTGACCAGGGGCTCCAGACGTGTAACTGCGCTGGGGCCAGTCCTTATCCAGACGCACCGGCTCGCTGTAAGGGCCCAGGAAAGAAAGAGACTTCTGCACTTTTGTATCATCCAGTTCTCGATTGATAAGCGGCTGGTTATCCATGGCAACGAGCAAGCCTCTGTTTTCCACTTCCTCAGTAGACATGAAAGGATGGACTTCAATAAGTTCTCCATCCCTCTTGAAGTACACCTGAGTTAGGTGAAGAAATAATTACGAAAAGTTACAACTAAACGGCAAAGAAACACATTTCCATTTAAATAACCTCTGCTTTGTACATGTCCGTCTTTATTTAGGTTTTAATTTAGAGCTTGTTTTTAATACTTCTACTAACCACGGGGGCAGGTTTTCCTCCAGTTACAATGCAAACAAGCGTGAAATTTTGAGCCTCGTAGCGACTGAATCGAGCTGGCTGATTTGCTGCCTCAACAGATATTGATTTTGGTGGAGCTGAGAAAAACAAAGACATTGAAAACTCATTATAAATCGATAGTGTCACACCAGCAATTCAAAGAGATAAGCAGAGATGACAGTGCAGCATTCAAAGTAATTATTAGTATCTTTCCCTCAAGGGCACTTTTGTGCTTCGGACCGCAAGCCAGGAGATCCTCATTTAATGAGCTTTCAGTTTATAAGCAAAGTGCATTAGTAGGCAAGATTTATATCACAATAGCAAAATCTCTTGTTTTAAGTCAGCAATCCATGTGAAATCTTTCTGATGATTTCTTAGCTGCCATGAAATGAACTCTAGCTCGTATTTCACGTCACGGCATATTACATCTTATTGAAACTTATTAATTTACAAGTGCATGCAGAGGGAAATTGCATGAATACCCTGCTGAATAGTCCCAGACTTTATGGGCATGTAGGTACTTGCACAAGCAATTAAGAAAGAGACTGAGAATTTACAATATTGTCCTGGTTTTGATACCAAAAAGATATACACACTGTTATTATACTATTAGGCTAAAACACTGCTCAATCAAAATAAGCATCTTTATCAAGTAGTTAATCGTGAATTTTCCATTATCATTATTACATTTACAGAGAATCCTTTCAAATAACAGAAAAGTGCACTGAAATGTTTTTCTTTTTCCAGAGGTTACAGATATAGCTCACACAAAAATTAGAATTCTGTCATATTTGACTCTTTCTCATGTTGTTCCAAACCTCTTTCTTGTGTGGAACACAAATGAAGATATTTCTGTCAATACAATGAATGTCAGTTGGGCCCAAAGTTTTTCTTTCATGTACCCAAAAGAAAGAAAGTCATACAGGTTTGAAAGAACATGATTTTTAGAAGAACTATGGCAGTTAACAACAGAATGGATTTTGTTGACCCAACCAGATACTACAGCAAATCCCTGCATTTTGTTTGACCACATACAATGCCTCAATGTAGAAATTGTGTATGATGGTTTATAACTAGAACCTACACATGACATTAAGAGTGATACTCCCAGATGCCAAGACCACCTTCTCTCTAGATGCCTTGTCATAGATCCCCACATGGCATTCATATGGTCCATCATCTTCCATCTGAACCTCAGGGAGCCTGAGAACAGTGAGGAACAGTCTGTCTAAACACATAACAGCAGCAGCCATAAAAATAGTACTGTGCGTGCCGAGAGGAAAGCCAAGTAAGATCCACTATAAACTGTATAACCTGACAGTTGACTGGTAAACAAGGTCCTCTCGTCTGCGAAAGTTCTCCATGTGAGAAAAATTGGTGTTGTACATGGCGTCGTAGGTGAAAATCTTCTGTTTTGATGTTCCACCTTCCGTCACCTTTGAAAACAATGACAATATACTATCATGTACTGGGTAAAAGAAAGTTGCATTTACATGTTTCCTACTTACAGTAAATGCTTGATTATTTGCAATAGTTCACATAAATGTTTAGCTGTCATCTGGACTAAAATCATGCTTAAAAATGTATGAATTTCATTGTATAAGATAACTTCATCTGTGGTGCAAGTTCTTGTAAGTTCAGAAATAGCTTTATTTTTCTGAGCCAGTTTTAACCAATTGATGTCAAAGTGGTTTTTAGTGCATGTATAAAGTCATCTTATTAACTATGGACAAGATCCATTAACATCTGACAACCACGTTTACAGTTATGCACCTGGCAGACATTTAGATTCAAAGCAAGTTCATTGCTTTTAAGATAAAGTATACGTTTTTACCAGTTGGTGTCAAATACAACGTTTTTAAAAATAAATGAAATAGTTTGATGTTTTGTTATCTATACATTTTTAATAGTTTTTGGGACCACTATTAGAATGTGACCTTTGTATGATTTCCAGTGGAGGGGGATAGATGCAGAAAAGCAAAAATAATTTATGATATTCTAAGTAATTAAATAAACATACAATATATTGGAAATTATGTGGCAGTCTTTTTTAAAATGTCATGGAAATATATTGGCATACTGATGTGTTTAATTGAATGTTTTATCTGTTGGCTCATCAAACCTGCCACATTTATGTCTCTGTGTGACGACAAAATGAAAACAGCTTGTCCTAAAATCACTGAGCCGTTCACTCTTAATCCTGAATATATTTTCATATTTTTGACAGCTTCTGTTCTCACAATGTCAGTTTGCCAACAGAGCAACAACCTAAAAGAGTTTGAAAAGGCACAAAAGCTAGCACACTGAAAAACAAGTGATTATTTTTTTCCCAGGATGCTGAAATAAAAGGCGTATCATGCAAAGATGAAGCTCGGACCCCACTTACCCGAAACCACACAATCTCTCGTAAGTTGCCATCCGTCCTGAAATTGCACTTCAAAGTCACTGTGTCCCCCATAACCACAGGAGGGAGAGGCTCAATGGTGACTGTTAAATAACCTGGAAAAAGATAGCAGTGTCACTTTCTGAATGCAGTATTACATCCTCAAATTGCATGGCCCTCCTTTAAAATCCCATTCAAATTACCAGCAACGAGTGCTAGCAAAATTACAGTGCTCTCCTCATTTCTGAAATCATTAAGTCATAATTTAGCAAAACGGAGTGCTTTTGAAGAACGCAATTTAAACCTCCCCCAAGAGAGGTCATACTGCAATGACAGTGAAATTATAGCATATAATGAGCTCTTGATCCAAGTTGTGAACATTTCAGATCAAAAAGCATGATTGCAAAAAACAGTATTAATGGATGTTGTGAGAAGTCCGCAAGAAGATGTCTCTCTTAATCTCCTCACAGTAAGAAATAACAGTTTTTGATCAGCACATACCTGACAGGTATACCTGATTATCCATTATTCAACCAACTCTGCTTGTAATGACATTGATCCAAAACTGACCTAAAATCAATATCTATATTGCAGGAAATGTTCCTAATTTCAATAAAAAAAATTTGCACTGATTTACTCTTACTTCTTATGATTAAAAAAGTAAACAAAAAAATATACTATAAAAAAATTAACTTCAAAACAACAGACTCTCATCAGTGCATGCCTGTCAGGTATTGTAATGTATTGTACCTCTCTGATGAAATGAAACAAATTAAAACAAAATGTAATTAAATGTAAAGAGACTAAGTAAAAACGTTAAGTTAAAGAAACAAAGTCAAATGAAATGAAGCGACGTGAAACAAAACACAAAACTAAACACAACAAAACAAAGCAAAGCAAGATCAAATGTAAAGAAAAATAAAAGTAAAAGAAGCGAAACAAATTAAAACTATGCAAAAAACTAAACAAAAAGCAAAGAAAAACACTAAATTCTACACAATAAAACAAAATTTAAAGAAACAAAACAAAGTAAACTAAAAAGAAACAAAGTGAAATACGAAAAATAAGAAACTGTAAAGTAATAAAAAAGTTAAAAGAAGCGAATGAAACAAAACTTAAAAAAACAACAAAAAACAAAGCAATGCAAAATCTACTAAAATACTACCCAATTACAGTTTTTTATAATAATTTTTTCACTAAGAACCTTCATGTACTTTTTCAAAACTCTATAGACACAATGCAAAATCTACTATAAATACTGCATAATAAAAAAAAAAAAGCTAAAGAAACAAAAAGTCAAATCAAAAGAAGCAAAGTGAAACAAAACAAAATAAAAAAAAAAAAAAAAAGCTAAACAGACTATAAATGCTACACTATAAATCAAACACCCATCTGTTTAGACTGGATTTGAAAAGATGCTACACACACATTGTTCAGCGCATTACAGTATTACATAATGGCTGTCACAAAGATGGATTCTTTGTGTAGTTTGATGCTTCAAGATCTAAAGCTATATCATCACTGCTGCCAGAGCTGTGTCCCTGTCCTAATAAAGTGAAAGGACTTAGTTTACAATTGTTACTCAAATTTTTACCAACATTAGACAGAAAGCATGAAATACCTTCATATCTTGAACAACCGTGAAAAGCAGCCGTGTCTTGCTGAGTGCTGCATTTCCATTGAAACAGTCACCATGTACCGAGCAGAGGCATCAGATTGGGAGGCAATCGGCCTATAATCTGTCACAAATTCACTGACCTACAAAATCCCACTGCTCCACCGTATTGGCTTTTTTAAACTGTGACGTTAGTGAATGGATTATTTTTTTCAGTGTGTGTGTGTTTTCTTCTTTCCCTAATCCATGGTATTTTCTCCATCAACCAAGTGATCCTATAGGCTGCCCCACATGCAGCACAGGACACTGGGAATGTCCTGTGACCCTCAAGCACATACTTCTTCATGCCGTCATTTACTGAGAAAATGCTGCAGAGTGTCCTTTAGGAGGCTTAGTGAGTGGAGAGGAGACATGTCCATTTTGAGGGTTTATGACAGTCCCACCCCACATAAGCACCTTTTATAGACTGCAATAATCTTGGAAATCGCAGAAAATCAATCTCTGGTCAAATGTCAAAGTTGGTTTGAAATGTTAATGGTGATGTGTAAGGATTAGTTGGGCCACTGTGATGATTTCAGTAATCTGTTATGAAAAGCATATCAAAGGTTAGAGTGTATTAAAGATGTCTAGTGTACTCACAAGAAGATGGCATTTATGTTATCTGTGAATATGATGAAGGAATTATACAGTCTGAAACTGGAGAAATGTAACAAAAATAATCAATTACATCAGTTAAACACTGATTGCTAGGTCACCATATATAATTAAGAAGACGTGTATTCTTTCTTCACACCCATATTTACATTAACGTCCAATCAGTATTTGTTTTTAATGACTTTTATTCTTAAACCTTTACAATTAGTTTGCCCCAATCTTTGCTGTAAATCATGAACTTTACTAAGTATCATTATCAGTGCAACTTCCAATTCTGTCAACCTTATTAAACAAAAGTCCAAAAATCATGCTATATGCATCATGATAAAACTTGAATATGATAGCTGTTGAAAAGACTTGGAGAACTAAAGCAAAACACATAAGGCTTAAATCACATATCTATGATTACAAATAAAGAAACACTGCTAATGGTGCACTTCTCAAAGCTTCTAGACCTCTAATATGATCTGACCGGTGACATGAAGTGCTCAACTCAAGGGAATAAGACATGACATGATGCTAGGCAGCATTATTGAGTTACAGTAAAGAGTTTGATGGCTGCAATTACTGATTCGTGTCAAAAACAAGCGCTCTGTCTCTCTATGCATGCATAGGCATGAAAGAAAAAATGAACTCTACTCATCCTCAAATGAAAAATACTCGTTACATAATATGATATATTTGCTTGCTCTTAACTGTAGATATCCCTGCACTACTGTTCTGCAATCAATGACCTTTAATTATTTAAGAGTGCAGATAACCCCTCATAAAACTGGGTCAGGACAAAAGATTAAGCTTTATCCTCAAAATAACCACCCATCAAAATCATTAAACAAGTGCACCTGAGTTTAAAGGACAAGCCACCTCAATCTAGAAATCATTCAATCAGTACTGCATTCATATAGTGGGGAACAGAATAGCCTGAGGCTGTAAATATATAGTGCAGATGTGCTTTAGACGGTTTGGTATTAGCCTACCAAAATGTACAGTATAAAGTAAAAACATAGACTATACATTCAGTGCAGAGAAAATATCAATATGGTATGATTTTACAGCTGTTCTCTAAACAGCTGACTGCTCAAATAATACATAATTCAAGTAAAACTTACCTATAACGAAATCCAGTAGGTCAGCACACAGGAGCAAAGATAAAGTAATTATACTCATCTCTTTTGCGTTTTTTAAATATCAGTCAATGCCGCAAGAGTGTCAGTATTCCATCTTGATATTATGTTAATGTCATCCTCCGTACAAAGCTGAAATACTGAGTAACTCGACGCGATTCTGCCTGTGGTTTCTCATGGTGTCCTTCTAAGGGAGCAGCGGCAGCAGCAGCATCAGCGGCAGCAGCATCTGTCTGGGCTCGGTCGGTCTCGGGCGGAGATTCACCGGAGCAACAGATTTGAATGAACGCGCGCGCAGTCATTAACTCTCATACTCACACTCTGAACAAATGACTGCTAGGGAAAAACACTTAATGCTACGTTATTTACATATTAAGGTTTGTATAAAAACGCTTTTGTGTTTAGTGTAAAATTGTATGCATTTTTAAGTGAAAAAATAACGTGGTTTACTAATATACAAGAATTATTAATGCACGGTATACTGCTAGGCTATAGAAAGCCAAATGGATGGATGGTCAGTTTTTGTTAAAAACGCAATATAAAAGGGTACATGACATTTAGATATCCCTCAGTGTATTGTGATCATAGAGGAGCAAGTCAGACATTTTTTCCAGAGAAAAATTTCCATTTTTTTCCCTCTGTCTCTCTCAGCAGTTTCTTTTCGTTTCAAACTGAGAAGTGAAGCACAAGCCACATTGTAAAAATATTAAGAGATTGTAATGTAAAAATAATATAAAATGCTGTAGGAAAAACTTGTTAATTGCTTACACACTATAAAATAATGATAATAATAATGAGTATAAAGTATGATTTTTGTGGGTTTAAAAATAGTGTATAATAAGCTCCTGTGTGACACAGACTTTAAATTTGTTTGAATTAAAAGGTTTTATTTAAATAGTTTAATGTATATATCTGCTATGTACATCAGGGGTGTTATGCTACTGTTTAGTTCAGGTTCATATATTAAAATTATATAAAAAATGAATGGTTATGAATTGTAAATAGGTAGCAATATCCTTGAAACTATACTTGCTACTTTTACCATAAATGTAAGAGGATTTGTTTTCTTTACAGAGCATCTTAACTACATTGTATTATAAGTAAGTACAGTTATTTTCACATCCTCCATAGTCACAGAGGTATGAACATTGTGCTTCTATTTAAGTTTTACAAAGGAGGGGCATTATCTTGATCAAGTCCTTCAGTTAGCAATAATGAGATTCTTGATTTCCCACTAGACACAAAGCAATCAAACATCTCTAATTAGAAGCCTTAGATGTAAGCATAGTTAACAGCTCCTCAAACTAAATGAGGCTCCTTACCAATCACAACACAAAAGTAACTTACTGTCTAGAGGAAAAACACCATTCTCAAAGTAAACCAAAGTTTCTCTTCTGCAAACATAATAGCTTTTATATTCAGTAACTACCTAGCTTGATGCATTTGAGAATTAATTAAACGCATCATGTCCTTTACTTGAAAAACAACAGGAATAGCACAAAATTATTAGACTGAATGAGCAAAAACATCTACTATAAGAACAATGAGTGGCTGTTAGACAGCTCCTTTGAATCCTGACAGGTCAGTTTTACTTCACGTCTGCCAGAGACGTGATTTGGCATCCTCTTCACGTAGCACTGGTGTCACAACGTGCATATATTACCCGCTGCCTGAGCTGCGCCATACTGCGTTTGCTGATATGTTTACTGTGAGAGCTGGCAGTGGCTGCCCAGAGATAAAAGGCTGAAAATATGCTGAGATTCAACATAAAATATTACTCTGCACTATTAATTTACAGCAGGTGTTCACACACAATGCCATTTCAAAACCATTTAATGTTCAGTCAGTTTAAAATCAAATGAAATGCTTTTAAATGAAATGAAATAGTAATGGAAAAATTGCAGAAGCTTCTATCATTGTAAATATGATTGAATTTTTTTAACAAAGTGACACTGCGAACAACGAGAACCATCAGACACAAGTACCTACACTGAAGACTTTGCTTCTCCTTATCACATTTCACACTAAAATAACATTATAACACATTTAAATAGACAGACTCCAAATATTCAACTACTTTACTTTTCTGTGCACACTGCTTTGGTGGTGCAGCATAAAAAAATATTTCATCATTTAAACAAGAAAGAACTGGGTCACAGCCAATACTCAGATACATACTAAGGATTACTTTTTGTATTACATCTGAAAAAACAACAACGCTTACCCTGATTCCTCGCATGCAGATGGGATATAATCAAATGCAATCATTTGGTGGTATCAGTCATTAAAGTGAAATTTACAAAAGGTGAGATTTTGTTTTATATTCAGTTGTGGTACATTATATACGGAGCACATGCTATTATTATGACAGACAGATATTGAATGGCGCGGTTGTTTCTTAACTTAAAGGAAAATTCCAGCTTCCTTAAAAGCATTTGTGACATTATGGGTATTACCATCAAAATAGTAAAATACTTTTAACTTGTCCCTCGTTTTCTATAAAAAAGCAAATATGTGACATTGGACCACAAAACCAGTCATAAGGGTCAATTTTTTTTTTTATTATTTGAATAAATAAGCTTTCCATTGATATATGGTTTGTTAGGATAGGACAATATTTGGCCAAGATACAACTATTTGAACATCTGGAATCTGAGGGTGCAAAAAAAAAAAATTTAAATATTGAGAAAATCGCCTTTAAAGTTGTCCAAATTAAGTTCTTAGCAATGCATATTACTAATCAAAAATTAAGTTTTGATATATTTACGGTAGGAAATGTACAAAAAAATCTTAATGGAACATGATCTTTACTTAATATCCTAATAATTTTTGGCATAAAAATTGATAATTTTGATACATACAATGGTATATTTGTAGCAAAAGCCAAAAATACAGTGTGACTTATGACTGGTTTTGTGGTCCAGGGTCACACTGAGGCATTTACAATTGAAGTGATTGGGGCCAATTTAGGATTTATTTGTTAAGCTTAATTATTAAACATGAATTATTCTGTTAAAATGTGTATTATTTGAGCTACAAAGCTTTTTAAATCATCCAAAATAAAGTCAGTTTAGGGTTAGAAGGGTTATGGCACTGCATTGTTTTACTTTTTTCACACTAAAATCATGTTAAACATATTGTTTTATGTCCTGTGGCTATGCTATTGAAACTGAGTATTTTAAATTATTTACAAACTGGCCCCTTTCACTTCCATTGTAAGGGCCTCACTGTAACCCTGATTTTTTTTTTCAAATCAACATTATGCCACAAATACTGCCGCAGCTTAACTTTTTCTGAACCTGGAATATTCCTTCAAATTCAAAACCTTCTGGAGGAGAAGTGGAATAAATAATCCTCATAAGCCATACAGGCTTACAGTCTGTTTGTCCTTCAATGATCCAACAATCCTCCATCACTGCAAAAAAACCATGATGAAAGCCAAAGGAAGATTTCATTACTGCCTCAAACTGTAATGGGCAGCTGCCAGACCATGAGCATGTTCTCACTGGAGTCAGAGGAGTTGGAGGAATTAGCGAGTCGACGGAACCCTTTTCCACCGGATATAACGGCGGCTGAAGTCACTTTCTCCCTACGTGCCGCTTCCTTAGATGACGGCCCAGGCCCTTTGACCCAAACCTCGGGGTCATCGCTCAGCTCATAGATGGAACCGTCCTCTAGGGTGTGCGCCAGAGAGTCCTGGGTCGAGACGGATGATTCTTCGGGCCGGGCCGTCAGGAGCTTTCCTGGGAGCTGAGAGGTAGAACGGAGATGGTACTGCAGTAGCACTCCTTTAGCTTTGGCTTCTACCTGAGGTGAGCCATCCGCCTGCTGGAGGGACTCCTGAGAGGAATCCGTCGCCTCCTTATCTTCAGCTCCACTACTTGAATCCCCACCTTCCATGGCAGAATCCCGCTTTAGAAAATCTTGGGATAAAATGCTGGAGGTGGCAACCAAGAATTCAACAGGGCCGTTGTGAGCGTTAAGTGACGTCATTCCTTTTCCTGATGGGAAAGAGGGACCGTTTGTGTTTGGTAACACAAAGAAGGCTTAGATGCAATGCTTTGTTTGTTTAAATGGTTGCTCACCTGTTATTTTGGGAATGCCCTCCAGTCTGGGCACCGGCAGGGTGACAATAATTCCCTGAGCTGTGCCCACCCATAGCAGTCCTTGGCAGATAAGCAGGCTGGTTACACACACTGTTTTTTGACCTATGAGGAAAATATGATAAATTGTCTTTAATTTATTTTATTTATTTTTTTTATTATTATTATTAATTTTGCTACCAACTCCTGCTCCGTTTCAAACATTTTTGTGGATCTACTTGACACTCATGCCCCTTTCAGGACCTGTGTGCCAAAACATTATCCAGAATTCATATCATGCACCATAATCACATATTGGACTTGCCAGGGCTCAAATATGCAGAGGGTGTTGAAATGTTGATCTCTTGGAGGTGTTCCAATGTTTCTGTGTGAAACAGACGTAGGGATGATCCCTCTGAAAAAGCCATCCACACCCCTCCTCCGGCACGCACCATGTGGGTCACACTAACCATGGGGTCTGGATGAACTTCAAAACTCTGGGAATCATAAAAGATACAAAATAATGATGAAAATGCAAAATGCAAAAAAAAAAAAAGAAAGAGCAAGAGGAATGGTAAAGTTATAAGGAAAGAAACAAAAAAAATCTAAGCTAAACATCAAAGTTTAGGCCAAAACTGTGGACTGTAGTGCTCAATCAAGGGTATGATTCGATGTCAGGGTATATACTGCCTAATGAAAGTCTGTTTGGGCATATGAGGCTGGGCATATAACATCAGAGTCCAGTATGCCAAATGTTAAGGAAAACCATAAAAGCTTAAATTAGCAAATAATCCACTTAAATCCACTAAGAATGTTTGGGAAATGGATCATTTCAAAAGTCAAAATAACACAGCAGTAATTACAGTAAGATGCAATAATAATATTTTATATCTTTTTGTGTTTGTGTATATACACACACACTTTATCTTTTTCTGATTATATTAGGAAAATATGATATTCTCCCTCTCTCTCTCTCTATATATATATATTGTATGTGTGTGTGTGTGTTTATTTATGTGTGTGTATATGTATATTTGATATTTTTCTAATATAATCACAAAAGATAAAATATACAAAAGAAAAGTTAGGGTAAGCTGTCAAGTGTAAATATTTATTTATACACGTTTTTAGTAACAATATTTGTTGGACCAA